GCTTTTTGCTCGGGATAATCTTGGCGGGCTTTGCTCAGGGTGGATCTGCCGCATTGTTAAAGATGGCGGGCGTTGCCGCCCTTTGCAGCTCTGAGCGGGAGAACAGAGCGACGGCGGCGGGGGAGGGGGGCGCTCGAGTGTAGAATGAATCAACCAATTAAAAGTGAGTGGATTAGGCACAGCCTATTGGCGCGAAGCAAGGGATTTAACTGTTGAAGTCCTGTGCAGTCACTGAACAAGATATGGGTGAGCTAGCATGGCTCCTCACAGCTCTTTAATCCAGGAGTCATAAGAAAGAAGCGGAAAGACCACGTTGTGTGTCCCATCTCATCTGGTGGATGGATTTCAATGTCTTTTAAAGGACATTTGGCCTTTCCACTTCCATTTTCTCTTGTTCGTTCTCTCCTCAGCAGCCATGGTTTCTTGCTGTGCTGGATAATATGGCCACATGCGATAACCCTCACCCATAATTATCGTGTTTGTAGCCTATGGCTAATCTAGTCTCTCGCCTCTGATCTTCCCTGCACCGTGGCCACGGGTAGTGCTTCAGGCCTGCCTGGTGTGGAAATGGTGGTAAGCCTGCGAGGACCAGAATGGATCACAGATGATCCGTGGCAAAAGAGTAACATCTACCCCATGGCTAATGCTGGGGTTGAATTTTGATTTATTCTTACTTTTTGACTAATTGCCACATAGTCTTTGTGGATTGCTATAATTCAAATTTAAGTCTTAAGTGACTTAAATTTAAATGTATTTTGGGTTTTTTCCTTACTTGTGGAATTCAGTTTAATCACATTTAATGACTTTCCAGTTTACATTCCTTAGAAATCCGTAAAGTTTTCAGTCTCTCCATAAATTTGTGAAACATGTTTGGTGCTAGATATTCAAAGTCAAAATCGTCTGACATAAAAACTTTCATTTCTGAAGATGTTCTTTGAAAATGACTTAACAATTTTTAAATGAATTGTGTGGTGCAGAAACATTTAATTAAAAAAAATTAACTTAATGACCAAACATAATGAAGTGTTGGAAGGTCTTCACACCTACGCAGGCCTTGCTATGTTCCTAACTTTGCTGCACTAATTGATTAATGACCTACTATTTGGCAGGAAACTTAAGCGGCTGTGATAGTGCCCTCTACTCATACTCATGGTATTGGAATGTTAATGCCCACATTTGAATTTTGTATGGTTTGCTGCTTCCCTAGCCTTGTTCCTAGCAACTTCATAGCCAAGCCCTAGCCCCAGCCCCAGCCCTTGACCTCTGCCCCAGCCCCAGCCCCTGCCCCAGCCCCATGCTGCCCCAGCCCCTGCCCCAGCCCCATTCTCTGCCCCAGCCCCTGCCCCAGCCCCAGCCCCTGCCCCAGCCCCTGCCCCAGCCCCATTCTCTGCCCCAGCCCCTGCCCCAGCCCCAGCCCTGCCCCAGTGCCAGTGCCCTAGTGCCAAAGTCCCATCCCTAACCCCAGTCTGTTTCTCAGCCCACTCTAATTTTCATTGATTGAGCACTCAAGTTGTCTGTTGCTCATCTTATTAAATGGACATTGATTGATTTAAGTGCCGACCATCCGAATCGCCACTGCCAGTTTATTGCGTACAATTCCTTTTGTCCATGGTCCCATGTTTAAAGAAAGACTTCCTGAATCCTATGTTAATGTTAGGAAATTGTAACTGAGAGCTTAATATTAGAGAATTATTGCTCACGGTTTTAAGTTACTCATCAACTCCTCAATCCCCTGACTTTAAGGAGGGAGAAACCATTCCTGTGCCATGCTGCAGTAGTCAAAGTCCCAATTCTCCAAACACCACTCAGTGGTCTTCTCATATACTGTGTTGACCACTTAAAAGTTTGTATTGAGTGAAATTCTAATGGGCCATAATCCTACTCATTAATTACATGCTGGTCCAAAACCCATTTGCCTTCAGCACTGGAGCAAATAACCCACGTTTATGGAACAATTAATGTTCTCAGCCACAGTTGCCTTTGTAATCTTGTCCCTTAAACAACGGTACTGTACTACCCTTTTATTGCCTGGCATTTTGGAAGTCCTGCTGTTCTTGAACAATTGCCCATTAATCGTGAGGACTTCCAATGCCGCTGATATTTGCTTTGAGGCAGTGTTAAACACCTGAGACCAGGGTTTTATTTATTTAAAGTACCAATGTAGTTCTCTATTCCTGCTTATTACAATATGGCATTTGTAACTTCTGTAATACAGCAGAGGTGGTCCTTTTAAAGACCTTACTCTTGGAATATGAATGGAAACACAGTCCTAACAGAAGAGACCCACCTAAGCTCTTTTCATTGCTTCTGGGTGGGGCTAATTACCGACCCTGACTCCCTTTCATTCATATGTAAAACCCTCGTTGTCTGCGGCCCCACCCGTTAGTACAGGATGTTCTCCACCTCTATTCCTTTGTGCTGAGGAATTTTGAGTACTCTAGGACCCTTCTCTTAAACAATTGTTATGCATAATTGCTTGTATCTGATGTTATACTATAAAAATGTATTCTCACCCCATCTTACCTGCTGGGGTTGTTACTAGGGAGTTTATTCAAGAACCCAGCTCTTGGACAGTTAACTTGCAGTTGCAATTGTCCAGAATCCTGGCCACTGGGAAAAGGGCCAGTATATCCTGCGTGCGCTGGTCACCCAAGGTCACTTCTGTTGAATTGATCATGTCCATAATTGTATTTGTCCATGATGTGCATTGGCCCTATTCACTATCATTCCAGACCTTTACTACTTAAGAGCTCTGCTCTAGGGCGGTTGATGTGCACAATCTTAATCTAGTAGAACTGAGAGTCTGAAATTAGAATCCCTGCCTTTACATCAAAAGGGTGTTTGATTACTTGAAGCCCCTTGTCTTGATATTATCGAAGTGCGAATTTTCAGTGGTCTCTGTCTGTCCTTGTCTCCTGGTAGTCCAGGATTCTCCGCCCCACCCACCGTGCCTCCTTTGCATTGTCTCAGAGGATGCGTGGGCCTGGAAATGTATATAATTGGAATTGTGGTCGCTTGTACTTTTAATGTGCAAAATTGGGCAAGGATCTTCTCTTCTATGCCTAACAGCAGGAATGGTGACTAGCTAAGGCTGTCTCTCCTAAATTGCTGAAATGTGCCTAACGAATTGGGGTCTATACACTTTTATATACGAGCATGAGAGCATTTTACTGCCTAATTTGCATTATTGTAGGAGCTTTAAACAGATTTACTCTTTTTGGAATGTTAATCTGCATACTTTTATTCCTGAGCCTGTGGACCAGGTAAGGACTCTACCCATTCTATTTGGCATTACAACAGGCGGTGCTTAAAGCAGGCCTGCACAACCTTAATTCTTCTGAACATACACTCAGCTGTCCATAACTGTGTCTTAAATCAGGACTCCTGTAGTTATTAAAGCAAGAAGTGCTAAACAACATTACACCCTTTTCTTTGGACTGTAGCTGTATATAACTGCAGTTGTCAGTGATCCTTCAAATTAGACTTGGGACTCTGACATTTCTCATCCTCTTTGCTTTATTGCACGGGACAATGTTCACTTAAGATTCCTTTATTAAGCTGCTGATATGCCTAATGACAGCTACATTGGGAATCTTCCCATTAACATCCCCCCCCCCCAAATAGTGTAAATGCTAGCCACTGAGAGCCTAATTTGTGGCCTATTAATATGAGCTGTATCTGTCCTCATGTGTTCCAATGCACTGGAGTACGAAGCCCATCCCCCACATCAATTTTATTTTCCCTTCCAGCAGGGATGCTGATTTAATAATGTTTTTATGTTTGTAAAGAAATGGGGATAAAACTGTAAGGCGAGCGCAGCCAAGTACCTTGAACATTAACTGACTGTACTTGGCTCATCCATTTGATTTATACTCAGTTCATGGGCTCCCTCTACAGTACAAAAGAGGTACTGATCATTAAAGCCCTTACTGTTGCTCTCTTTCAGTTTGGTGTGTAGTAGAGGAGGAAGCCTCCTTAACCTTCCCCGCTTCCAACTCTCCCCATCTTTCATTCCTTTCCGGCACAATTTCCTAGTCTATAAGACTTACATTGGGACAACCAGGTGCGAAACAGTAAGGAAGCACAACCACGCATCTTGGACATTAATGTGTGCTAACTGCACATGACTCATCCCATTTGAGTGAGATTCCACTTAACTTCCTCTTACAGTACAGAGGGATGCTACTCACCAAGGCTCCATGAGTTGGCCTATTACATGAATGATTATATTTGTCAAGTTTGCTGCTTTCTACACAAGAAAGCTTCCCCTGCCCCATCCCTAACCTCATCTTCCTTTCCCTTTCAGCAGAGGTGTCCACAGCATATGGCCATTACTCTTAAGGTGCATAATTGTAAGTGACCAAAGCCATGCACCTCAGACATTAATGTGCCTAAGTGCCCATGGCTCATCCTCTTTTGTGGTATCATAACAATGCTGATTACCAAAGGTCCATGTTCCTGACCTGTTATGTGGCTGATTATTTTTGTCCAATGTCCTATGTGCCAGAGAAGGTAATTCCTTCTGCTTTGCCTGGTCCTTTGTCTTTCCCTTCCAGCTCTGATGCCACTGTGTAAGACATGTGGACAACAGTGCACAATTTTAAGTGGCCAAAGCCATGAACCTCAGACATTAATTTTCCTATAAGAATGCTGATTACCAAAGGTCCATGTTCCTGACCTGTTATGTGGCTGAATATATTTGTCCAATGTCCTATGTGCCAGAGAAGGTAATTCCTTCTGCTTTGCCTGGTCCTTTGTCTTTCCCTTCCAGCTCTGATGCCCACTGTGTAAGACATGTGGACAACAGTGCACAACTTTAAGTGGCCAAAGCCATGAACCTCAGACATTAATTTGCCTATAAGAATGCTGATTACCAAAGGTCCATGTTCCTGACCTGTTATGTGGCTGATTATATTTGTCCAATGTCCTATGTGCCAGAGAAGGTAATTCCTTCTGCTTTGCCTGGTCTTTTGTCTTTCCCTTCCAGCCCTGATGCCCACTGTGTAAGACATGTGGGCATTAAGGTGCACAATCGTGACTACAACCATGCACCTTAGACATTAATATGCATAGTTACATGTGGCTTGCCCCATTTGATATGGATCCTTTCAGGCCCCCTTTACAGTACAGCAGGGGTGCTGATCACTAAAGGCCATGCTTGTGATCTGTTGTATGGCTGATTATATTTGTCCAATTTCCTGTGCACTAGTTTGTACAGTCAAGGTGCACAATTATGGCCACGGCAATGCACCTTGGACATTAATGTGCATTACCACATGAAGCTTGTCGCATTTGGATGAGCTCCTACTTCTAGACCATATGTGCAGTATCAGTGGGCACTGATCACCCAAGTCCATATTATTGCCCTGTTACATGGGTGACTATATTTGTCTAACTCATCCTCTTTGAATGAGAGCCTACTCTTAGACCCTATACAGATCAGACTCCTATACATAGGGGTACTGATCACTAAGGCTCATATTTCAAATCTGTTATATGGTGATTACGACTCTTCAGTTTCATGTGTGCTTGACAAGGAAGACTTTCCTGCCCGACTCCCAACCCAGTTTTCCTTTTGCTTCCAGCAAAGATGCACACTCCATAGGACCATTAAATTTGGACAGTGAAGGTGTACAATTTTAAGTGGCCACAACAATACACTTTGGACATGGATGTATATGACCGCAGGTGGTTCATCCCATTCTGCTGAGATACCACTTAGACCCTTCTTGCAGTACAGCAAGGGGGTGCTGATCGCCAAGGCCCATCTTCTTGGCCTGTTATGTGGCCCATTATATTTGTTGAATTTCCTGTGCACTGCACAAGAAGCCCTCCATCCAGTCTTGCATTCCCTTCTTAAAGAGATGCCTACCCCATAAAGTTGTTTTGTGGACAGTCAAGATGCACAGTTTTAAGAGACCACAATCCTGCATCTTGGATAGCAGTGTGCTTCACTGCACATGGATTGCCCCATTTGGATGAACTCCTTCTCTCAAGCCCTTGTCCTGTGCTGATCATCAAGGCCCATAGTTTTGGTCCATTATGTAGGTGATTATATTTGTCTGAATTCCCATGCATTAGATAAGGAGCTTCCCACACTCGGCACCTACCCCCCAGCCCGGGTTCTTTCGGCTCCATAAGACTATTACACGAGGACAGTCAACATATACAATAAGTGCCACAACCATGCACCTTGAATATTAATGTACATAATTGTACATGGCTCATCCCATTAATTAAGATCCTATTCTCAGACCCCAAATGCAGTACAGCAGGGGTGCTTGCCACCCAGGCCCATGTTTGTCCTATTATGTGGGTGACTATATTGATCTAAGTTCCTGTGCATTAGATAAGGTAACCTTCCCTGCCCCAGACCAATGTCATTTTCCTTTCCCTTTCAACAGATATGTCCACTCCATAAGACCGTTATGTGGACAAAGTGCATAATTGTAATTGATTACAACTATGGCCTTAGGATATTTATGTGCATAACTGCATGTGGCTTGTCCCATGTGAATAAGATTAGGCTTGCAGACTCCTTTTGCTGTACAGCAGGAGTGCCAATCATTAAGATCTCTTTGTTTGTCCATGTTCCTGTACAGTAGATAATACTAATTGCCTACTACTTTAATTTCTTATTATTTGTACAAAATACATGGTTTTAATTGATCACAGCTGGATCCCTTTGGCATTAATGTGTATAATCATGACATGGTTCATCCTGTTGAACCAAGATCCTGCCCTCTTTGTCTCTTACAATGCACAAGGTTTGCTGACCACTAAACTTCATTTTCTTGATTTGTTAATGCTCACAATACATTTGTCTGGGTTCTTGTCCATTAAGCATGGATATCCCACTTCTGAGTTCCTATGCCATCCAGTAGGTGGTTCCCGCTGCTTAAGACCTATGCATTGGGACGTAATTTCAGGTGTCCACGTCCTTGTCACTTCCAGGACTGTGGTCCCTCCTTTGCATTACATCAGGGGATACTCTTCTCCTACAAAGGCACATAATTGAAATTTACTTTTGCCTTTATCAGCCGCCTAGTCTTGTCCCCCTCGCCTTTCCTTTGCAGTACAGTAAGGTGTACTGCTCAACCAAAGCCCTCTTTCCTTGGGAGTATTAATAAGCGCACTTAATAAGGGTCCTACCAATTTCCTCAGCATTGTCAGCAGATGGAATTCACTACTCAAGACTCTGCTCAGAATGTTGACATTCATTACAGTGTCCTGAGTGTATCCTATACCAGAACTGCTTTAGAGCAGTGTGAAGCTATGCACTCAGTGCCTCTTCTTTTGGATTTAATGATCACTAATGCAATTGTGCTTCTCTTTAGGTTTAGGATTTCACTTCCTTACTCCCACTCCCTTTCTATCAGGGCCATGATAACTTTGGATTGGTCCCTTTCTCATGAATATTAATGCCATAGTTGGTCTGTGGACCTGGGGAGTAGATAAGAACCCTGTACTCCTACCACTGCCTTTTGACTGTTGCTGAGGAGTGCTAACCATAAGCCTCAGCTCTTGGGTAGTTAATTTGCCATAATAACAAATATTGAGAGTACAATTCATTTAGATGGAAACCTGCATGCTCTTCATGTGCATTAATGGGCACTGGTCAACTTTGACTCCTTGAAATATTACTCAATATTTCTGTTAGACGAGGGTACTAAACCCTCACATCACCTGTGTATTACTTAAAAGTCTGTTGGCCACTCAAAACCTTACCTTCTGGGACTGTTAGTAGGCACAGTGAAAATTATCAATGGTTCCCTCCCTCTCATATTGTTAAGAAAACTCTTTCCCCACCCCCATTTCCCATTTGCCCATCAAACAATGACCTATACTTCCCTTCCCAAGTAGCCACAGTCTTACCATCTATGCAAGATTTTCCCTCTCCATGGCCCCTTTTGTGCCCTTGAATCCTTCTTATGGATTATTAATATTCACAGTCCTGCCATTGGGTAAGGTTATGCTCCTTCCACCTGCCCCATGCCCAGTCCCTTTTGTCTCCTTTGCTGTGTAATGTTGACTGAGCAAGATCCTCTCTAGGACTAAATCCCATATGTCACTGGTTTACCCACCTTATATTGCCCTAATGGCTCAGTTGCACTTGCCTTGGTCCCACCCATCAAGCCTCAACCTCTCCACTTACCTTGCATATGCTTTTCAGCAGTGCTGACACCCAAAGCCCTTTCTGTGTTACTAATGAACACAATATTGATTGTCCCACTTTACAACCCATCACTTTAAGAACTCTAGACCACTTTGATGTGTCTGTGCGGCACTGATGAACAAAAGCAGGCCTGGAACTATGTGGATGAACCTTCATTATTTTCTTCATTATTTTCTTCAGTTTCCAATGATCCCAATTCTAATTATTGTCACATTCTGGGAACAGGAGTCATTCCTTCCCAGCTCTATTATGGCTTTATTGTGTAAAATATCCACAGCACAGCAGACTCCATGAGCTGGAATGCCCCCTTTTATCTTGTGCTTTTAATTATACAATGATTAATTGATTAGAGGAGAGTTTGGATGTTTTATCTGCATTCTTCTTCCAGAGAAGATTGCCTGGTTAAAAATCTCTGTATTGTTGTGGTTCAGTGCTGACTGCTAGGATGCAATGAGAAAAGTTGTCAGTTGCTTGGTTTCTTAAGAAAGATATATGGTTTGGAAGGTGGTATTGATAACCTGGTCATAATTGTTTTCAAAGCCAGTCCATTTATGTTATGTACTTAATGACCAGTGTCTCATTTTATCGAGGATGGTGGGTCTGTGGATAGACCGCTGCTACTTTTGTGTTGTAATTATGATATTACCAAAGGTGTTCTAGAGTGGATATCCTAAGATCAGTATCTTTGTTTGGCTATATTATCATTTTAAAACCGTTTCTTGTTGGCCTTTTATCACCAATTGCTTTTAGAAAAATGATCAAAATGTGCTAATCCATCAATTTCATCATATGAAGCCTCAGACTCTACTTGCTTCAAGAAGGTGGCTATAAAAATGATTAAATGAGATAACATGCTGAGATGCTTCTGAAAACCATAGGTCACCTTGTTTGATTATTCCTTTATATAAAATGGATCACTTAGTTCTGCTAATAATTTGAGTTAGATTGAAGCAAGCATCACACTGAGGTGAATTAACTATAGAAATGATGAAATCGGTTTCTCCATTTTATTAAAAGAAATTAGCTGATGATTCTTAATGTAGATCTCGGCAGTAGGATAGCTGCCCTGTAAGAAGGAATAATATCCTAGCATCTAGCGTACGGCGTTGTTGTGGTAAAGGTGTGTTTAATGTGAAACTGCTGAAGTTCATAGCTAGCTGGTCATCATGACAACTGCTCTTGAATCACTGAAAACGGATACTATGACTCTAAGAAGGATGTCAAAAGGTTGACTCAGCTCAGCTTGCAGTTTGTACAGCTAACTCCTTGGACAACGTTAAGAAGAGTCTTTGGCCCTTAAGGATTCTGTAAGTACTATTTTATGGCTATTAACTCATCTGTTCCCCATTCTATTTTCTTTCTTATACTCAGAAAAGTGAGAGGGTCCTGCAAAGTCTCTGGTCTCTTCCCACCTTATCTGCTATATATGTGTGTATGTGTGCATATATATAGATATGCATATATATAAATTAATTGCGCAGAACTATAGAATTAATATGGTATACCCAGCCCTATGTTGGGTCACACTGAAGTGAGGGGTGACAAGTGTTATTGTCCTGCATAGTTTCACCCCTGAGATGGTTGTATTATCAATATAAACACACTTGAGACAACCATAAAAATGGTAGTCAAGTTTTCTATGAATTACGAGTTTATAAAAGTGTTTTGAAGATGATAGGATAAACTTGAAGGAGATGGATTTAGTTTTCTCTGAGCCAGGATATAATGTGCAGCCATCTGTAATCTAGTTCATATACCTAAAGATCATTTATATTTTATTTCTTGGAGCTATGGAAATAAATTAAAAGAGATAGGGTCTAGTCATTGTGTTTGGCTACTTGGCAAGCCTGAAAAAGTAGGGATTAACAATTTCATGAACTTGAGCTTTTCAAGATTCACAGTTTGGAATCACAGGTTTAAAAACTTGGGGTTCTTTGCACTATTTTACCATATTTCTGCCTCAGATACACTTTATTTTGGAATCCCATTGCCAAGAGTAGTGGAAAAACAAAAATTAAAAAAAAAAAACCCTATCTTTGATCCTGCCCACTTTATGCTGCAGTCTATATAATCTTTTCTCTAAGCCTTTTTCAACAGATGCCTTGGTTAGCTAAAAGAAGCTTATCCTTCTTAATGTAAACACAAAGATTGAAAAATCAGTCTGTAACAAAATTTGCGTCTTTTTCCTGCATAGCCATGCATTCTAATTTAACAGGAGCAATAAGAACATATATATGATCTGGGCTACTCTTATGCATATTTCCCCACAGCTTGTTTTCCCTTCATGCCTAATGGCATTGTCCAGCTAAGTGAGGCTATGTATGTATGATGGTACATGCCATGCTCCTGAGTCTTCTTGGAAACAGATCTGTGACATTGTTTCTCAAACTCAAGTAATACTTCAGGATGAAACACCTTTTAAAGGAATAAAATATTCTGAAATCCTGAAAAAAGTGTTTTGTGAAACACTGACTTAAGATTGTTATTAGAGATGTAAGCATGTTTTCTAATTTTAAGTTATTTTTGTCAAACATGTGTTATACATCTCAGATCTAGAAGATTCATGAGAATATATCCATAAACCCCCAGCCTTCTTATTGCTCAAATTTGAGAAACATTGGTGTATGCTTTTACATTCTTTTATTGCTGCTCTATCAAATCATCAATTAATAGTCACAAAACCCTGTAATAATTATTGGTGCTTGTTTTAAAGGGGTGAATTTAGAATGGTTCTTGTACTCTGACTCAAGAGGATGGATTGGCATATATTTAGATAACATCCCATGAGGTCCAGGAGTCTTAATTGATTTCTTCAGATAATCTTTGCCCTGAAGAAAAATGTGGCAATTGTAAAAAAGGGATGCCATGGAAATGTGGTTACCTTAAAAATTGAGAATCCTTTTGTTACTTCAAATGTTTATTGTGCCCTGCACTGGAATAAATAGCAAAACCCATTGTTGACATACTGCATTTTATGATCTGCTTGGTAGTATGTCATTGCTCCACAGACTACAAATCATTCATTTTTTTTCAACCTTACATGTCTTCCTTGACTGAAAACTAGTTATAAATCACTGATTTCATTTTATAACAGACTGACCAGTCTTTCCAGGAAATTTGTTGATGTCTAAGAACAAAGTTTAATTTGTTCTTTTAGTCTAGTGTGTTTTGAACAAAAACTCCACCAGTGTGGCAATGAAGTCCTTCATTATGAGCTGATCCTTATAATCTTGACAAAGAAATGAAAAAGCGGTGAAAAGTTTCATAGAAATCTCCCATACCCTCTGTGAATGCATGCACAGAACCAAGGTCTAAAGACCTGGGAAGGGAGAGTATGTGGGCTTAAGTACCACCTGGCTAACTACTAATTAATGTAATATTGGGATAATCTCATGCTCTGGGCTCCTGGTTTTGCCAAGTAATGAAAATGCTGGATACCATGGTCATTAAGAATTCTTGCTGCAATGAATATGGTCCTGGAGTTATTCAGTCCAGCTGGCTGGCTCTGTTACTTTGTTATTACACCCAAAATATGTTGATGGTTTGTTGTGTTGCAAGTCTCAAAATTCTTGCAATGAATAGTGAACCACAGTGAAATGCATGCTCTTATTAATGTGGTCACTCTCTGGCCTTTAACTGAATTCCCTTTAACTAAAAGGGAGTATTTTATTTCATTACCATAGTTGATATAACTTGATGCTAAAGCAGACATTCTCTTCAAATAAGATTCAGAAGATTTGGGGAGAATGAAATAGTTGTTTCCCTTAAGATAAGTAGACAGTGAAATTGAACTTGGAGCCATTAATTTAAGAATTCTTTATATAAATGTGCTTGCATAGAGTGTTATTTTCCCCCCATTAATAGAACTTCATGAAGGAGTAAATATATACATATACACACTTACGGGCAGTGATTTTTAATAGAAGCCTGCATTTTGGGCGAAGTATCTAATCTTAAGAAAGGATGATGATGATGAAGGTTGTTGCCAAGAGAATTTTTAAGCTCATTCTGCTCATTTGGGGCATTGTAGAACATGAGCTTTACGGGGCATGTTCATTGAGGGCTTACTGTACCACACCATACCGAATCATACAAAAGGTGCTCTCCTTGCAAACAAGGCTTAGATTTGCTTCAGTGATCTCTTACCATATGGTAAAAGCAGAGACCCAATTATTAAAAATGGCCAAGACAGTTGGAACCCTAGACATTAGCAGCAACTGCTGACTCTGCTGCCTTGTATGTTTAAGCGTTCTCAGCAACAAGACCTTTAGCCACAAAGTGACTCAGCCCTTAAGCTTTGAACCCTATTTTAATGGAGTTCTTTTTGTTCATGGGCTTAATTCTCCTGTGATATTGCCGGTGTTTGTCATAACAGGACTTTAGGGACAACGCACTGGCTGCGCATCTGGAGACGCCTATGTCTAATGCTTCAGGTTTTACTTCCTAGTTCCTATTGGACAGGGGGAGGGTTGGGATTCTCAGTTTTGGTAGCCTACTGGTGCTTTGGTTGATTGCAGAGCTTTGTTTTCTCGAGGCCTTTCCCAACCATGTGAGACCTGAGGACGCCAAGCAGCTGCAAAAAGACTTCAAGCACCGTACCGCAGAACTTCCCTTTTGATACTCTGGACAGGGTACAATTATTCTACTTGCACTGGATAACTTGCGGGCTGCCTAGAGAAGAAGGTAGTTTGGGGAATTTATCCTTTTGGGGCCTTTGTCTTAAAATTTTTGTTGCTCTACTTTTTTTTTTTAATGATTTGTTTATTTTTATTGGAAAGGTGGATATACAGGGAGGAGGAGAAACAGAGAAGGTCTTCCTTCTGATGGTTCACTCCCCAAATGACAATGGCTGGAGCTGAGCCAATCTGAAGCCAGGAGCCAGGAGCTCCTCTAGGTCTCCCATGCAGGTGCAGGTTCCCAAGGCTTTGGGCCATGATGTACTGCTTTTCCCGGCCATAAGCAGGGAGCTGGATGGGAAGCAGAGCTGTCAGGATTAGAACCGGCACCCAAATGGGATCCTGGTGCATTCAAGGCAAGGATTTTAACCACTACACTATCGCACTGGGCCCTGCTCTACTTTTTAAAGGAGAATATGAACCTGTGTTTTGGTTCAATATACACATACATTTTAACTTGCAACTTTGGCATATTTCATTTGTCCCTCATTGCTGGTATCCTGAGAGGTTCTGAAAATCAGGCGTACTTGACCCTCATTTCATGAATGAAAAATGAAGACAAGCAAAGCAATAATTTTTTTTTTGGTCAAATAACTAGTTAGAAAGGTAGATTGCAACTAAGCCTTTAGGTTACTAGGTCTCTAAATTATTCTCCTTAATTGATATTGTTAAAGTTTTTGGATTTTTTTTATGACTAGGACCAATTTAAGTCTGTGCCAGGTCTATTATGACTGACCTAACTGTATTGTCACCACCACTCCCTGTATTAAGTTGAAAGTTTTCATTTGCAAAATGATGAAATTGTGGAATAAGAGAAACCTGAGGTTCTCTGTAAGCTATTTCTTGGATGCCTAGCCTTTAGCATCTTTTGAATAGTTGTTCACTATTGTCATGACTGGGCTTCTGTCTGTTCCTGATCATTATTGGTTTTTTTGAATATCCTAGAACTCTGAACACTGATGATGCCCTATCATACAAGTCATTCAAGAAATGAATCCTAGGAATTTAGTTAGAAAACAGTTCTAGGTCTTCACCTTTGCAGTGTTCCAAGATAGCACCACATAAAGTAAAAATTACAGGAGGACAGTGCTGCAAAACTAGGTAACAGACATTTTAAAATAGTGCATTATAAAGCAAAGAAGCTTGCAATGATGAGAATTCTTAATGAACTCATAAAACAAGGAAGTTTTTTTTTTTTTAATAGCTTCATGGGTCTTTTGGTTGAAAAAGCTTTAACTTCTGTTTCAATCCCTTGATTTCTTGTCTCCCACTGTATTTTCCATAGTTTAATTGATTGCTCATTAATAGAGATGAGGATAAAGAGCAATATGGGAATTTTGCTAATTATTCAGCTCTAAGTTGATCTTGAACACGGAAAACTTGTTTGGAATGTAACTGGAATGAATATTTGAATTCTCCTGTTGCTAGGCGGATAGCCAGAATACAGAGCTTCAGACAGCTGGACACCCCTTAGTTCAAGTCCCCTCACTACCCCAAAGGCAAACATGGTTTAATCAATCACTAACGTATCTTTTTTTCCTTTTATTTCCTCTTCAGATCTTCTTGGAAGAATGGGCTTGTTGCTTTACAGTGCTAGTGATCCATTCCCTTTGACGATCCTTAGGTGGAGATGGGGCATGAGGATCCTCCAGGGGAAAAGCTCATTATCACTGGGCAACAAGCCTAGGTAATGAGGTTCTAGCAAGACACTTTCCTGGGCCTAGATAAGAAGATGAAATCCAAAAGACAATCACCGCCGTGAAGGTTAGGTAAGTTGTTTCTGAAAGCATACTAAATAGCCTTGATTTTGATCTTGTTTTCTGATATGTGTTGCACTAAGTTTTCCACTGAGAGTGTACTCATCATCATCCTGCATCTGCTTTGGTAAAAAGACCTTTCTGACTAACCTGGGAAGCAACTTGGTGTGAGATTGGTGAAGGTGATGATTTGACAAATATAGCAGGCTTCATGAGTGAGGGTGTTTTCAGGTGGTACTGTAAGATGTGGTACAGGCTTATAAACCAATTATTATTTCTTTTAGGAGAACAGAGACAATAGCTGCCTCACCTTGGGATGTTGCTGTTTGAGAAGATAAACTGGGGTTGTATTGTTTTGTGCTGTGCCTGCTGATTTACAAAAGAAAACCTGGATCTATAACTGGGCAAGATCTAAGCAACAATGTCCCTGTGTCCTCCAGGTAAGTAAGGGGTGAGGCCGATTAGAAGGATGAGGGTTGAAAGATAAAGGCGACCATTCTGTACAGCAAATCCTGACCATATAGGCAATGTCAGCATTGTATATAGAGAGTGGATACTCTCTCTAAGTTCCCTGAGATATTATTATAAGTGGGAATCCTTGAAATGTTATATGTTTGAAATGTTGCCTAGAAAGCTACATAGATTTAGCAACAGATTTACCAACATAGCTTGTTTTAGAAAGCTCAGGTGAATATTACCTAAGAAGATTTATTATAAGCAGATTCTCAGGCTGGTACTCTGTGGATTTTCTGATTGTGAAAGTGACTTCCTCCCAGAGTGACTCAGATATGTCTCAGAGAGCAGCAGTATGTGCTTTGGAAATGGTGCTATGTTTTGGTAGTCCTGAACCTGGACACTTAACGAAAGCTGACTTGGTAGTTGTATTCTTATACCCTTTTCTTTTCCTTCACATTCATTATGTGCTTTTATGAGTTTTGTTATCATTTAACTAAGTAGGGGTGGGAGACATCTAGCCTATGGGCAAAACCATTTAATGTGGCCCCATTAAGGTAACCATAGGTGGGACTCAAAATTCAGTAGATATTTTAAAGTTGACAATTCAGTTAATTTTTAAGCTGACAATTTTGTATGATGTGCAGATGACATTCTGGATAGTCGGCCAAATGGCCCTTGGGAGAAAAAATAGTTCCCCAACTCTGAACCAAATTTATAAGGTAGTATCTCCAGTGACTTATCCAGGATACATTGGGCAAGACAGTTTTTCATATAAATATGTAGTTTACTATTCTGTTGAATGAGGACTCAGAAACTTTGATTTGACAGGTTTATAAGTTCTGTGGAAACATCTTCTATTTGCTCATTACTTTGAATCATCTGTTACATTAGCACAGTACTCAACACTTCCTATTATTTATGTAGTTTCTTTTGTGATCTTTGTAGCTCGTGAGTGTTACTTTCATGGCTGCCAAATCATCTATTCCAAAATCAGTGCAGAGAACTGGGTCTTCAGCTGGATCGAGAAAGTTGGACATACTGGAAGAAGCTTTCTGACCTGCAGATCAACATGCTTGGCAATCTAGTATTTTAAAGTAGCAAAATGAAGTAAGTTGTTGGTGTTAGATTGTAAAGATTGTCCAGAACTGGTAAATGTTGGAAATTACTATTGAAAGTGGGGACAGATGTGAAATGAACGGGGAAGATGATCAGTTTTCCATATTACCAACTGGATTCACTGAATAGCTCAAAGACGTAACAGTCTGCTTACCTGTATAGTTAGGGGAAATTAGCCTTTACTTTGCTATGTACTGTCATTGCATAGTTGTGTGGCAAAATTTAGGGCCCTAAACATTAAGAATCCTACAACACCTACAAGAGTTTTTGCTTTCTCCTGAAAGCCTGGGCTCTTTGCATCTCCATTTGTGAGACAATCTGAGATCAAGATTTAGTATGGAGAGAATCCTTGACTCTGAGGCAGTCATTATAATTGTGAAAGATGGGAGAAAGGAGAAGCTACAAAATATGGGGATTGACTTAAATGCTAAATATAGCCTTTCCTAAAATATTCATTCATTTGTGACCTGCTCCGTTTCCGACCTGAGCTGCTTCACCCTCCTCAGGCAACCTGGTGATCCTCCGCTCCCGGGAGGTTACCATATTGATGCAAAACTTAGTGCGGACACCCGATCGGCATAGCGCACTGCAGCCCAGAACTCCTGGACTCAAGCGATCCTCTGGCCTCCGCCTCCCGAGTAGCTGGGACTACAGGCGCGCGCCACCGCGCCCAGCAAAATATTCATTCATTTGTGATAGCTCATTTGGCTCTTTTGGGAATTTTAGTAAATACTTGTGGTTCTGTCAAGAGGCATGCATTCTATGTTTAAATCCTCTCTGTTAGTATGTGGCCTCTGAAAATTGCAGTCTGTAATGATTAGCAATGACTGCTTATTGAGGAATAAATGAAATCATGTATGTAAAAGGCTTAGCACAGTGCTTGCCACATAACAGACAAAAGGTATTGCAACAAGTTTTAGAGGCTCATTTGGCACAATAAAAGTGACCACTACTGTTATCTGAAAGCACACATAGTTTGGTTCTACTTAGGAAACCCCTAGTTAAAAATTTGCAAATAGGGAAGCATCTATGTTGCTTATGGTAGTTATTATTATTATTGGTAGTAGTATAAATAGTATCAGTAGTAACAACAGTTTATTGCAATTATTAATAACACTTTTTTTTGTTGCTGTCTTTCTGTGATGTTTGTGCCTTTTGTGCCCCTTGTTGTATGTCATTTCCTGTACTTACCCTCTTCCCAGAATGTCTTTGCTTATTTCTGACTTCTAAGTGTGCATTTCTATTCATCTGTTTTCCTTCTTGAGCATCTTTGTTGTTCTCTAAAGTGTGTGCTACCCATTTCCGTGTGTCTGTTGCTAATTTCTTCTATGTGTGCTTTTGCTTCACTTTCTCTTTTCGTCCTTCAGTGTGGAGTCTGCTTTGTCTGTGTTGTATCTCTAATGTTTTCCTTCTTGTTGCTACTACTCTTTGCTCTACTACATGTGATTCTTATTTCACCATGTCCTTCATCTGCTTCTCTACTCTGAGTCATGTGTTGTGTGCTTTTTTTATGCCACTTTCTCCTTCTGCCTACCTATCTTGGTCTTTGTCATCTCTTGTTTGTCGCCCCTTTCGCTTCTTGTTGACTTGATGTTTTGTTTCACGTTTCTCTGATTCTGAACCCTTTTCTGATGCTTCTCATCTTGCATTTCTCTTTTCTACATTTCCTTTTCGCCGCACTCTGGCGGTTTTCTCTCTTTTTCTTCCTTTGTGTGCCTCAGTGTCTCTTTGATGTCTCTAAGTTTCTACCTGAGCATCCATCTTTTTGCTTCTTTGTGTTTCTTCTCTGCTTTTCCCTCTCTGCTGAGCTTTATTTCAGCCTCTTTGTCTTTGTCTGCTCCTCTGATTGCATGTACTCTTCTCTCTTTGGGTCTTTCTTTGCCTATGTGCCATATGTGTGTGTCATGTGACTGAGGGCGTTCCTAGCCCTTCCTAATAGGTGCAGAATACCAACTGCCAAAAGAAACAGTGCAGAAGCTCTTCCTTTGATACCAAAACACGGCATGACGGTCAGAACTGAGGTCAAACCTGAGAGCTAAGGTGGACGAAGATGGAAAGCACATAATGGATAGAAGGCCCAAGTGAAAGACATTGTTTGACCCTTGAGCACTAAGGTGGAAAAGTCATATCTGAAAGAGACAGAAGCCTTAGGCCTGAAACCAAACAGAACCCTTGAGAACTAACATGTATAGGAAGTGGTCTGAGTTGGACAGATGGCCAAAGTCCTAGGATGGAGGCGAAAGGACTAAGAGCTGGGATGGACACATGGAAAACCTAAAAACTGAGATGTGTGATACATAGTGCAAGACCCGAGATGAACTCACGGTTATAATTTGAAAATATCTACGACCCAAGGATGGAAGGCTGCAGGCACACCTCAACCAGGACTCAAGCCTCTGCAGATGGATGGAAGACTCAAGAGAAACTGATCTGCAGACCAAAGGTTGGAAGCTGGAGGCCCCTAACCAGAGCCTAGGAGGGGAGAAACCCTAATGCCAGGGGAAATCCCAAGATGAGAGCCCAAAACCCCTGCTCTTTTTTATTGTTATGTCCTTTACTCTTAGATCTCTCACATCTTCCTTCCAATTATCACGTTGCCATTAAGCTTGCTTCTTTTGTGGTGTTCATAAAAAAAAAAAAGGAACATGTCCAAAGATTAGTAATATGTGTGGGCTGGTCTTGAGCCCGTTTTTAGCCATTCATTAAATGTCTACTCCTTTTGAGAGATACCAAAATTTAATCAATAGCTGGTGTGGCTTTTGTCACCACACTCAGTAGCAAGCATCCGTATAAGCTATATTGTATTTCTGTCATCCTTTTGAATCTCAGAAGCTTTAGGCTGATGAGAAGAAGGAAGCTGTTGTGGAAAAAAAAAGTTAAAAGAATTAGCCAAGAAATAAAGAGTTGTGCATTAACCTTCTGAGAAGCATCAGCCCAACAGCACCTTCCTTCTTATGTGAGCTTATGTGAACAGGATTCCTGGGGGCTTAGAATTTCTAGTGGCGGTTACAGAAAGCGTGACTGGGCCTGGCTGGAGTGAGGCCTAAATCCCTGCTCATTGTGGAGGTCAAATAGGTTGGTGAACCATACAGGCCTCTTTCTGGGTTTAATACCCACTTGTAGGCTTAAAGATGAGAGAACATCCTCTGCTTCTGAGGGAAGGTGATTTAAATGATTGATAATATATTAGAAAGTGCCGTAAAATGCAAGAGAACAAAATCTGACACCCTCACTAATGGCTTATTGACAGTCACAGACAACTAACATTTGAAAGTACAGTGTATCTTTGCTAAGCATTATATAAATGCTCATCATGTGTTTTCTCGGAGAGGTCAGATCTCAAGTACTTTAGACTTGTAAGCCACAAGGTCTCAACATGTTCTGCTTGTAAACAACCTTTTTAAGAGGTAAGAACAATTCTGGTCTTGTGAACCAAGTGGATCTGACCTGCAGTACAAAGTTTGCCAACCTCTGGTGTAAATGCGAGAGGATACTTCTGAATATTGTTTTCTTTCTGAATGTATCCTTGTGCCAAGTTCTAAGGACGTGTCACCTATCCAGGTGACTTGAAGAAAAACACACGAATGTTCTTTGTAAATGTGAACTTGGAAAAAAATTTTAAAAATCTTAAGAACTTCAGTATTGATGAACAAATGTAGATCACCTATTCTATGCTTTCTACGTGCTACAAAGCTTAAAAGCAGCACCAGTAAAATGTGTTTTATCAAGAATAGATTACTATGTCGTAGTATGCAGGCATAAGAAATTAAGTTTTGGATATATGACTAATTTGTACATTTGTGTTTCTGCTGCTCTTCTGATTTTGAGCAAAAATACAATATTCTAAGTAGCAGAAAACACATGGATATGGCTTTTAAACTATAACATATAAACGCAAGGATTTGGTGATCAATGACAAATAACATGCTGGTGGAGTATTCTCAGAACTAAAAGTTTCAGAAAGAAAGTGCCTATTAAACTGCTTTGAAAAATAAAGCACTAGGCACACATCGGTAAGCTTCATGCTTGTGAATGAATGAGCGTTAACTACCTCTTCTCACCATTGTTTTGGGGAATGTGACACCCAATGTAAGTGATTCTCACATGTAGCAAAAGTTAGGAATGAGGCATCACTTGATTTATCAGTCAATCTGGTGAGATCAAGTTAAATAATTATGGATACTATTTTCTAGCCTAACAATGTAATGGCTGTGAATGTGATTTCCAAACTCCAAAATGCCATTTAAATGTAAGACTTCAACCTGTATGAATAAAATTTTCTGTAAGATGGGCATTGGATAAAATTTTCTGTAAGATAGGCATTATTTCTGCAAAATTCTCATTGTGCATGAACCACAAAAATGATGATGACATAAACTAAGGATTTAATCACTTGTTAAAGTATTAATTTTCTATCAGTGAGTATCATTTGTCTACCATGTGCGCTCACTGTTAACAGGCATTGAAGAGATACATAGTTGTATATCTCATTGTGCGCGCAGCTGAAAATAAGGCAATACATATGCTAGCACATGTGCTCTAAAGCATCAAAAAATGTTAACTGTAGAGTTTATTTCTCATCTAGTGAATACTGGGCTTACAAAATTAAAGCACAGTTGTTATACTATGCAGATGAAGCAAAAAATTAGGTGAGATCTGTTAACTGCTGGATACATTGAATATAATATGCAAGACACTCAATGTCTAATAAATGCAGAGTACATAGTAATTATATACTAATCTCCTTTGCAAGGCATTGGGATGCGAAGATAAATCACCTTTTAAAAAAGGATTTATTTATTGGAAAAATAGAGAACTAGAGATCTTCCACCCATTGGATTGCTCCCCAAAATGGCCACAATGGCTGGGGTTGGGCCCAGGCCAGGCTAAATCCAGGAGCCAAGAACTCCATCTGGGTCTCCTAAATGGGTGGTAATGATCAAAGCAGTTGAAACATTTTCTGCTGCTTTCCCAGGTACATTAGCATGGAGTCGAATCAGAAGTGGTACAATCTGTACTTGAACTGGCATTCATGGGATGTCAGGATTGCAGGTGGCAACCTAACCATCTGTGCCACGATGCCAGCCCCAAAGATAACTCATCTTTATGTATCCTGGGTAGTGAAGGAAAATATGTGTGAAATAAATTTGTAATTTATAAATGGTCATATGCATATTAGCAATATCTGCTAAATAAACATTGATTATTTACTGTTATCCCCATAGTAACTGGGGGTATATTCATTTTTATTGAACCTGTAATGGGCATTTCTATAATCTACAAAGCCTACAGTTCTATACAGATAGGAATTAACGGTAGACTTTGTAAGTGCCGATTACTTTATATGTGGTTTAGAATTGCACATCTTATTATATAACAATCAACTTATCATTGTGAGGTCTCACAGGAGCAAATAAAATAGTTGTGAGCTCCAGACCAAAAGTTATTTAACCACTAATAAACTTAATTGATGACGATGAAAACATGGGGCAACTGGATTTGTGTAAGATAAAGTACTCAATGCTGAACTATGAAATGATAAAATACTGTTAATTATTAGAACATTTGTTCCTGATTGAAGTGATGGAAATTAAAACAACAACAACAAAACAAAAAAACAAGGTGATGTTTCCACGTAGTGTGAGTGCTCAGTGCTGCCAACAACGATGAATTAGATTCACCTTGGCATGGTTTAGAGACAATGAAGGAGAAAAATAAAAAGGCTCAAGTTTGCTTTCTGATGAACCTGATAAACATTGTTTATGTGGAATATACCATATCAGATTTTGAGCCTAAGAGATGAGGTGAAATGTGCCTTGTTTAATTGACTTAGATCACTGATCACAGCCATAGATAGAAAAAGTCTTTGATTATTGAGTAAATAATACTTGAGTGTCTGTTGCATGCAAAGTTATATAAGTCTGGTTCAGAAACCCATTGACTTGCCTTGAATGCCTAAAGGAAAATAAAAAAGGCAAAAATTAATCCACCCTGCAGCTGTAAGATGTGAAGGAACAATTAAATAAATAGATCTCCTTCTCTTCAGCATGCTTTGTAGAATGGGAATAAGAGAAACCTTTTTACTTTTGCATTTATACAAATATCCATGAGCATGATGCTAAATGTCAAATGAAACAGATTTGTTTCACAGGCACTTAGCCTGATTTAGAAATGCAATAATAAAACAATGGAGTGATACTCTTTATTATATGGAAGAAGTTACTATGAGAAGCTATGGTAAATCCTAGATTAAGAAAAGAAGTTCTTGCCAAAAGGCACTTGATATTAATTACCTTATTGACTAGAATCTAGGAGGGAGGTTAATGCTCATTCTTTCTTTTTTCATTTACTCATTCATTCTCCAAGTATATTTGGGTGTCTCATGGATAAAGGATTATTTGGCAGTCTGCCAGTTGGCTGTAGAGATGTGAGAATTTCTAAAACTTTATTGTTGACTTGTTTCCTGGGTATAGGCAGGAATTTATTCCTAAACAGCATTGTGTGGTTCAATTCCTGTCCCATATCTTTTGCACCAGTCTGGCCACTACAATAAGCAGGTTGATGGGCTTTGTAGCAAACCTGCCCCTTTAGTTGCAAGAACTTTCCTTGTAATGGACAGCTCATCCTCCAAGAAAAATGATTGTGATAACTGACAGAAGGAGGCATGTCAACTGACTAATTTCCAAGCCTCAGTCTGATTGGTAGCAGTCTTGGGACACCACCTGTCACTGAGCTACAGTTAGTAGTGGAAATCATTTACGAGTGTGGTGTATTTTCAATCCTTTGATCCTTTCCGCTCTGACACATAGACAGCTCTCTTGTCAGAAAGAATCCTGACAGGTAATAGCACAGAGATGGAGACACAGTTTCTTTTGCAACAGCTTCACAATTTATAACTTAGAAATGTTGTTACCATCAAAACAGTGTCAATGGATGACAGTAGCTTACAATTTTAGGATGCTTACTTAACTTTTCAATACAGCAAAACACAAATTGGAACATTTGACAAAAAATCCATGGTAAAGCAACAGTAAACTTATGCCAGACTAGACTTTGACCTTTTCTATTTTTAAATCACTCACAGAGGGTGGGACAGGAGGAAGAGTGAAGGAAAGGTCAAAACTGTTCTAAACGCCCTTTGAGAGCGATCCTAGCTCTAGCTCTGACTTAGAATTGCTTAAAAAAAAAAAAAAGCTTAATGCAGTTCCAATAATTGATTATTGTTGATCTGAGGTCCTACTTTGCTGTACGCTTTTGGAAAAAAATATTTGTCCGAATGGCTATCGACCAAGTCCTGGGTCAGAAAAGAATGGCATCCATTAATCAATATGACCCACTTTTAAAAACTGAAGTTAACACTACTGCATTTACAGCATTACATTTTGTACATACTTTCAAATGAACTGATAGTACACATGGCAAACCAACAATGACATCCACAAATGGAGAAGGAAATAAATGGCAAAGTATAATTGGTGGAAAATGTAAAAGGATTTTGGGTGATATTTTACAGTTCTCACTCACTTTGTATACTTTTATTAATATTAGATTTTATAATGTACCAGCAAAATGTACCCTTTCTTCCGGAGGGGTTGGGGGTTATATTTTTGGAAAGTGGTGAGGAAAAATAACTGAAAGCCTTCCTTTCACAGTTTCTGGCATCACTGTCACTGCTGATTAAACCAGCGTAAAAGAACATGCTATCTGCGTTAGTTTCGCAAATGAAGTTATAAAGGAAATGCCTGCATCTCTTCCCTTCTGCTTCTAAGAAATCTTGCCCAAAGGCTAATATAAATACAAAAACCTAGACTTGTGAATTCATGTAAAAAAACAGACTGTTTTGCAGATCCCAAAATCTTGCTCTGTGGGTGACCAACAAAAACCAATTTGGAGACATCACACATCATATGGCAAAAACTGGGGAGTTGCATACTGTAAAATAAAAAGTGCTGCTTTGAGAACTTGGATTTTCTGTGTGACCGTGTCTCAATTCACTACCCTTTCCTAATCACATTGGTCATTTTTTTTTTCTTTTCTACCTTAGTCATCAGCTGTCAGGTCTCAATTTTTATGGCTTCTATTGCCAAGGACAGTGAGAAGCCCAAATCCAATAATATGTAAAAACTGAATAACTTCAAAAATCAAATAAGAGTATGATATGAAGTATAAAGCTTTGGGAGTTACGATTCGGGAAGGAATCACGAATTGAAGGAATGAAAGGTCCTGGCCCCTGAGGGGATGAAGGGATAAACAGACTTGTCTAATGTTCAACAAAGCATTTCTAGACTTTTATTACTTGTTTGCATTTCTGTGCAATGCAAACTGGAATGGGTTCAGTGGAGGATGGGAGCCATTGGTAGAGACTTTTCCAGAAGGCATTCTTGAGTGTAACAGTGCTTTAATTTTCCTTGGAGCTGACATCAGGATCCTGCTCATATTTGCTGTGCTTGCTGCCTTGGCTGTCCTGCTTCTCTCTTTTCTCCTGTAACCTAGTGGAGAGAAAATTAATGGACAGATATAGGTTTCTTTCTTTTTTAAAAATGGAGGCGTCAGAACTAGAAAATGTTAACATTTGGTAGTATTTCTCAGGGTATATATTAATGTGATCACTAAGCATGTGAAATTCTATTTTGTACCAAGGCACATCAACAAAACTTGTACCTCCTGTCAGGATATGATTGCACCTTTCATCATGAAGTTATTTTTCTTTCCCTTTGTGTTTCTTTTTAAAAATTATTTTTAAGCATTTATTTTTATTGGAAAGTCAGATATACAGAGAGAAGGAGAGATAGAACACTCCCTAAGTGGCTGCACACCCTAAGTGGCTGCAACAGCTGAAGCTACACTGATCTGAAGCCAGAAACCCAGAGCCTCTTCCAGGTCTCCCATGCTGGTGCAGGGTCATAAGGCGATGCCATCCTCAACTGCTTTCCCAGGCCACAAGCTGGGAGCTGGATGGGAAGTGGTGCCACTGAGACCATACCGGTGCCCATATAGGATCCTGGTGTGTGCAAGGCGAGGACTTTAGCCGATATGCTACTGTGCTGGTCCCAAAAAGTATTGTTACTGGGAATAATAAACTTAGTAAGCTTGTATCATTTCTATTTAAAAGTTATCGTATCTGGTTGCTGGCATTTTGTCATGGCTTGCTTCGCCACCTGTCCCTCTGGCATCCCATATGTGCAGCAGTTTGAGTGCTGTCTGCTGCACTTTTGGTCAAGCTCCCAGCTAACTTGCCTGTGAAAGGAGTGGTGGATTCACAAGTGTTTGGACCCTTGCACCCTTCTCCTGGCTCCTGACTCCCGACTTTGGCTTGGCTCAGTGCCAGCCTTTGCAGCCGTCCTTGACAGCTTTCCTAGGCCACAAGCAGGGAGCTGGAAGGGAAGTGGGGCTGCCGGGAACCAGCCCCCATATGGTATCCCATTGCCTTGCATTCAAGGCAAGGACTTTAGCCGCTGGGCCACGCTGCCGGGCCCCACCTCTGCCTTTTAAACTAAGTTGTATTACTTAAATGGAGTCTAAATTGAACCAGTTACTCTGTTCATTGGGAATGGATAAGCAGGAAAAGTGCTAGGAACAGGTGTAACTTCTTAAGAAGGTATAGGTGAGCAAAACCAACGGAATGACCTGGAGACCATTCTTAAGGGATTATACCAAATGGAGCACCAAGACAGTTACATGGTGATCTGGGAGTTTACATAAATAGGCCTCAAGGCTTTGACCTCACTCAGTTACATTGTTTTTCTTTTACTCAGTAAAGGTGAACTTTTGAGAGATTCTGAATCCAGCATCTCTTGAATTTAACACAATGTATCTTGCAGTAACAGTATTTCTGATAAGAGGCAGGAGACAATTTTAGTTTTTAGGTATCTAATGATGGAAGCAGGACATCAGCAGCAGCCATTGTAATTCCCAACATAAATGCAAACTCAATTCTCCCAGAGACTCTTCTGTGTATTCCCAAAACCAGTCTAACCCATGCCCTGCATTCCTTTTCAACCACCTAGGGGAGGAAGGTCCACTGTACTTGGAAAGCCCAGAAGAGTCACCTTGAACCCTCCCAAGCCCATAAATCCCCCTAAGCTATGTAAGAGCTGGGCTTTTGGAGGACCGGGCCTTTGTCAGGTGCTTCTTCCATATGCATGCTAACAGTTGGCCACCTTTGAGAAACTAGTTTTAATAAATTTATTCTGGGGCTTGGTGCGATATGGGCGCTGGTTCTAGTCCCGGTGGCTCCACTTCCCATCCAGCTCCCTGCTTGTGGCCTGGGAAAGCGGTCGAGGGTGGCCTAAAGTCTTGGTACCCTGCACCTGTGTGGGAGACCTTGAGCTCCCTCCTGGCTTCTGGCTCTGGATTAGTGCAGTACTGGCCGTTGTGCTCTCTTGGGGAGTGAATCCATCAGATGAAAGATCTTCCTCTCTCTCTCCTCCTCTCTGTATATCTGACTTCGTAATAAAAATAAATAAATCTTAAAGAAAAATACACAAGCAAATTCACTCTGGCTGTGAGTTTGTATCTTGTCTCCTCTCTGTTCTTTGTCTCTTTTCACATTTTTGGTGTCCTGAGTGAGGAGGGCATAGAGAATCATCCTGTTGCTTAAAGCAGCTACACCTGCATTCTATGCTAGGAGCCGTGACCCCACCAACCAAATTTTTCCCCTTTTAGTGGCAAATAAGGGTGAGGGTCATGGGATGAGCATTGTGAGTCTGGTCCCTATGGACTTTTTCACCCGTGAGAAAAGTTCCCAGCCTAGCTGTCTTGTGTGGCTTAATCTCAGTTCATCTCTTACATTCTCCTTCCTGCAGTCTCCAGTTTCCATTTCCGGAAGGATGCTGAGTGTGTGTGACAGGGGCTAACCTGCCGAGGGATTGCAAACACCTGGCCAAAGCTATTCTTTGGTTACACTCAAAACTCTCCAGGTGAATACCAGCACTGACCACCTGACTGGGTATTCAAATGTCACCTTCCCCCCTTGACTATCGTTTCTGACCAAGTTGGTCTCCTCAAGGCAGGGAAGCTGAAACTACTGGGTAACTTCTGAAAGCACTGGGTTGCACCTAGGAGATGCCTCTTCAAAAATCCTTAGATGACTTGAGATGTGCCTTGGCCTCTTAGTCCTCACTACTTAGTCTGTGAGTTCATTGAGACCATCAGACCTCTGCTCTGTATGCAATACAGGATCAGATTGTTCAGCCTGTTGGACGGCTAAGAAGCGGGTGGCCCTGTCTCCCCTGCAGCATGCTGGGGCTGGTCCGCTATTATCCTCTGCCTCTGGGAAGCCTAGGGTAGTCTTTGGCTCTGCCTCTCCTTCCCTTCTGTTCCAGGAACAGGGGACCTCTGGGAGGTCAAATGTTTGGGTGTGTCTTGTCCCTTGTCCTACTTTCTGGGCAGAGATGCCTGTCTCAAAATGTTAGGATCACTTTGATTCTCTGGGAGTTGTGCGAGGCTTCTTGGTGGATGCCCTTAGACATGAGTCTCTCACCTCTGGGTCCCTTTCTACTAGGCCCGTGCACTACAAATTTTCTCACATCCAGCCCGACTCCCTCTGGCCTATTAAAAAAACAAAACAAAAAAACCTGTGCTAGTTGGGCCTAAAGCAGAAAGGTAAAGCCAAGACAATTTTTCTAACTCCTGGCCTAACTAAATGTACACTGGGCAATCATTTCAAGCAGCCAGAATACAGCATGTTTGACCTTCAAATTGTTTTTGATGTTCATCGTTTTATAGAGAAATAAATGGTAAGAGGTCTCTTATATCCAGGCTTTTTGCCTTTTCTTCTACAAGGCCCACTTTCTTTAGTCTAGGTCCGCCTAGGGCCTCAGGAATCTAAGACTCTAGAAGAGCCAGATAGGGGCTTCCCTACAACTCAGCAGAGGCCCCAACTTCTCCCTCTGCCCTCTTCTCCATCTCCCTGCAATCCTGACTCCTCATCCTGTGGTTTGCCTCCCTCTTCCCCTTTGTACTGTATTTTATCCTGGTCTCTCCAGGGACAAAAAACTTCCCGTAAGCCCTCTGCTCCAACACGTTCTCCCCAAACCATCGTCTGTGTTATCCTAACCCAGCCTATAACCCTTCACTCTAGCCGACTCAGGGCCTTCTCTTGCCTCTATCCATACAGTAGCTGATAAACTCCTAAGCCCTAATTAAAGACACATTAAATTGAAAAGAAAAAGGATTAGTGAAGGGAAGAGCTGACAGATATGAACTTGGGTGACCAGGCAGACAGGCCGGCAGCGGAGAAGTTGCTGGGGCCCTGTGGACCATGAGAAACGGCAGAGACAGCTGAGCAGTGCAGCAGTGGCCAGTTTTCCCACAGGCAACTGGAATTCCAGGAGAAAGCCCATAACAGCAGCAAAACAACAATGACCAAAGGCACAGAGAGGCAGTCGAGCACCCTTAGTGGCAAAGACACCACCTCAATATGTGGAAACAACCTAGTAGCACATGTGTTCTAGCTAATATTACACAGCTGTAAAAAAAGATTTTCTACCTTCGCCTAGACCTACAATGATATGATACATTTAAACGGCATAGTGAAACTTGTTAATTTTACTAAGGGACCATACCACTGTAATAATACGGGGTGGAACTGCAGAAGGGGGAAACAGGAAGGGAGGAATCAGAAGGGCAAGGAAGAATTTCTATACATATAAAACTGTATAATGGAAAATAATACAAAATAAATAAAAGAATTTAAAAAAAGACTCAAACCCTCACCAGAGACTCTTGCCCTACATTCCAAAAAAAAAAAAACCGCCCAAACCCATACCCTCATTCCACCCTCTGCATTCATTTATAAGTACCTGGCCCCCAGAGAGAAAAGTCTATTGAGTTTGAAAAACCCACAAAAAGCTATCTCATCTCTGTCCACTGCCCTCCCCTTTAAACCTCTAAACTTCCTTAACCTATTTAAGATTTGACCTGCTGGATGACCAGCCCTCTGCTACATCCT